GGCCTAACCCCCACTTACCTGAATCTTTTACACCAGCGGTGTCTGACTTAGGGACAGGTGTCCCGCAGGTTTGAGACGTGTCTTTTCTCCAGCCTCGACAGGTCACCTACTTCTACAGTGGCCTGATGATAAATCAGTCACTTGATTCAGGTGTATTAAATCAGGGCTACAACTAAAGCATGAAGGATACCGGGCCTAAACTGCTGACTTTGGACACTACAGTCATGGATGGTTTAGTACCAGACATCATGTTCATTTTCCACACAGAGGCATTAGAATGTAAAAGTGATCCTGCATTCAGTCTCCTAAACACAGGTTTCATTTTGAGTCTTTTGCACATCAAAAGACTGAAAATGTTGACCCATTTCTCTTTGCAAAATATCAAAAGATAATGATCACTTAGATTGGATGTAAAGAGTCTTGGCAGCACTTTTCAGGTACCCTGCTAGAAACTCAACTGAATTTAGGCCTGGAATTTAACTGGGGCGTTCCGTCAATTAAATATGCCTGGGAAAGTCTCTGTTGTAGCTCTGGCGGTACGTTTAGGGTTGTGGTATAGAAAGCGAACCTTTGCTCTTTAGGATAATTCTTGCTCTTCATTTAGACACAAAAGTTTTTGCTTTTTGTGTTTTTTAATTATCCAAATATTCGCAAGTGTGTTCCTTCTATTCTGTCATACACCGAGTGTGGCTTTAAAAAGTTATAAAACAAGAACAAGCTAACTCAAAAGAAGATAAAGATGTGAAAATTTCCTAATGACATTAAATGCCACATTTGGTGCAATATCGCTGCATGTTGCACCAAATATTCAAACATGCTAGGAAATATTCCAGCACATTTGAAACCATCTGACGTCGTCTGTGCCCTGACTTGGCTAATCTGCATAAACTGAAGTTACAGAAATATTTTTTTTTTTTACTTTTTAGTTTTGGCTATGACGTTTATTAAGTGCTCATGTTTTAGCGTGAGCAGTTCTCATGCGCTGCTCCATGGTAGTAAGTGTAAAATATCAGTTAATGTGCATAACACTTGTTTTTTGTTGTTGTTGTTGTTTTTAAAACACATCTTGTGAATGTATTCACACCGTTTGAGCTTTTTCACACTTAGTCATGTTACAACCTCAAACATTTAGGATTTCATATATTAGACCAACATAAAGTTAGTGCATAACCCTAAAGCGGTAAAAAATAAATAAATAAATAAACAAATGTAAACACTGATGTATAATTTATATTGAATCCATTTGAATCAAGAATCAATTTTCCCCAGCAGTCGCTCTTTTTAGATCTAACTAGAGGCAGTTATTTATTGTTATTTATGAAAACTCCTTAAACTCTAAGCCTAAGACTTGTCATTGCTCAGTTTCATTAATATCCTCCTTCTTGGCAGTCATCCATAAAGGATCTGTTGATGGATTCAGCTACCTGAGCTCTGGCTCTCTGCAGCTCCTCCAGCACTCTTGACAGCTTCTCTGACTGACGTGCTCCTTTCCCAGCCTGATGAACGGCGGAGCTCCCTCATCAGAAAGTCATTCAACTCTACAGAGGTAATGACTCATTCATTTGATTCAGGTGTGTCAAAGAAGGGATGAATCAAAAAGCTGAAGTAACTTTTGAGGACTGGACTTGGGCAAAGAAGCAGCGCTCCAAGCTGGGTGAAGAGAGTGAGGGGCAGAGATGAGCAGCGTGTCCCTCAAAAAGAAGCCAATAGAGGGCGCCTTTTCTGCCTTTTCCCACAGACAGGAAAACGGTTCTGATGATCAGCTGCTCTTACATTCCCATAATTTAATCTTTTTTTTTTTTTTTAATAGGGAAAGAGGATTGAAATTTGATACAATGACACCCATTACAGTAAGAAATCATAGAAAGACAAACAGCCCGATTTTCGTGAACACAAAGTGCTTCCTTGAGCTGTTTCTGAGCCAGGTGTACAGGCAGGAGTAATTCCCAAATGCCGGGTGTTAAGACACCTAAAAGGTTATTGTTTCTTTCATCTCGGGGTTAAATGCCACATTCCTCCCCGCTCCCTGGAGTCCGTTACATTCTGCTGCCATGCACAACTCTCGGTTGGGACAACACCTTGGAGCCAAACGATTACATCAAGGTCATGGAGAGGAGGAATGTTCCCCCGATTAGTGCGCGGGTAGTCCAGCCGCATCCTGCAGGGCAGAGCCCACCACCACGTGTACGACTGCAGACTCAATGTGCTTCTTTGGAGGGCTGTAAATATAAACTTAAATACAATCCATACAGACGGTAAACATTTCTTAAACCCTATAGGGTGAATGTTTGGTTAAATCTAAACTGCAGAATCGTTTAATAAATCTCAGCCACTTTTTTGCTCCAGCTGGTGTCGCCGTTCATCAGAAGAGAAAAAAATGCCTGTTTTGCTTGAGTTTGCCTTCAGATTTGAGGGTTTTGAAGAACAAAGGGCTTCAAATAATCAAACTGGTGCAGCGGCAGTGAGCTGAATTCTCCCTCAGTCGATCAGAACTAGTTGCTGGCTGAGGAGTTTAGGGCAAACAAGTAATCTATCATTTGTATAAAAAATATATGTGTTCATACACCTGACCTGTTGGTTTGGGGGCCCTGAGCTGCTTAGTTTGGTTATGCCATGGCCTGGCTGCTCTTCAACAAACCAGCTCATTCTTGCATGGCTGATTGCTGCATATAAATTAACGCCTTGTTATGGAAAAATGTTTTTGATATGAAATTACTGTGCCTAATTTTATGGTATATTTTTCAATGACTGGTGTCGCTTCAGTGGAGAGGGAAAAAAACAACAACATAAAAGTGGTAAAAATGACAGCACTTTGTTATTAAAGGTCAATTTAATGCCATCCAGATCAAACAGTTTCTTTTTCAGACGATTTGGTCTAAAGATAACAACTTCTGTCTTGTCAGAATTTAAAAGCAGATATTTTAGTGTCATCCAGGTTCCTGCCTGTAATCTGCCCACCTGATTGAATTCATCACGATTTATGGATAGAAATATCCTGGTGAAAAATATTTGTCTGTAGAAAAAAATCGTACAGGTCGTTCCTCTTCAGATCTAAAAAAAAAAACCAAACAAACAAAAAAAAATGTATTATTAAAAAAAAAGACCTAAACTGAAGTTAACCACCTGAAAATTTGTAGCTGTTGGATCTCTGCTCCTTCAGGGTGAAGGGGCGTCCTGCTATGTTGACATTAAAACCTAAGGAGCCTGTCAGATGTTTGTTGTAAACAAATTTCCCTGAAGATAAAAGGATGCTCCACATACCCAACACAAGCACATTTGTTTGGATCTAACACTGTCAGTCTGACACTCGAGCTTTAAAAGAATGACATGGATAAATGACCTTAGCCCTCAAACTTGTGTTTTTTTTTTTTTGTTTTGTTTATTTTTTAATGAAAATCTGTGCCATCCAGTTTAGTAGTTCACTTGAACCTACTAAAAAAAAGGTGTAAGTAAGAATTTGTTAAAGGCATTTTTTGTTGTTTCTGTATGTCCCCTAGGAGGAAGGTCTCTTAGTCTTGCATTCATAAGCAACCATGGAAAAAAAAGCAACTTACTGGTCCATTTAGAAAAAAAAAAAAAAAAAAAAAAGAAGCTGAAGGTTGTTGGAAACCAGAAACAGTTCCTGCATGAACGACACTCTGGGTGGGGCCCCTGTTTCTGCCGTTCCACAAAACCCAAACACAACACCCACTGCTTACGGCAAACCCATTCTGCAGAAAAAAAAACCCCATAACTAATTTAGTTATCAGAACTAATTAACTAACATAATGCTGCTGGTTTGAATCCCTGCTTTGACTGTCAGTCACTGTGTCCTTGGGCAACACATTTAACCCTCCCTGCCTGCTGGTGGTGGTCAGAAGGTCCAGTGGCACTGGGAAGCCTCACCGCTGTCAGTTTGCCCCAGGGCAGCTGCGGCTACCATGTAGCTAACATGCGTGAAAGGGGCCTCTGGACTTGATAAAGCGCTACAGAAGTGCTGACCATTTACCATAAAGTGTATCTGTTCATCATAATTAATCTATTGCTGTTCTATGCACCAATAGGCACGTATTTTACATTATTTAGCTGTCTTACGCAGTTTGTGTGCGTGTGTGCATGTTTGAGAAAGAGAGACAGAGAGAAAAAGACTAAATAAGCTTTAAGCTTTTGACAGTTTTTTTTTTCCTTGAATATTTGTGTAACTGTTGCAACCTGTCCCATGTGAATTCAAGGTTACTTCTGACCTTGAATGTGCCTCCAAGCAGCAGAAACTGGGCATGTATTTTTTTTTAATGAGCGCTCAAGAGAATAAGATAGCAGTGTTTCTTTTATTTTTCATCTCTGACATAATCTTTGATATTGATGACATGACTCCTGTCAAGCACTTGTCTAAATCCCAGCTTCTGATTTAGCATTAAATTAAATTGGCTGTTTCACTTTTTGTTTAAAATTATCTGCATGGTAATTTATTTAAAAAACTCTTTTGGCTGATTAAAATTTAAATGAATAAACATTACTTAACACACACACACACTTAAAACACACACACACACACACGAGATTTATAATTAATTCTGCTAGTAAAAAGCAGCGTTTTCCAAGGTTTTGGCACAAGGTCCTCGTTAAATAGAAAAGTATATATATATATATATATATATATATATATATATATATAGACAAGACTTTTTTTGCTGGGGTCTGTATCTGGCGGTATGAATAGCAAACAAGTGGTTCGCATTCATGGAACAACCTCCACTGTTTCTGAACTACCACTGCCAGGTTATTGCATGTGCGTAATTGCGCACGGTCCTCTTTGAATAGTATAAAGACGCACAAAGTATCAGAACTCTTTGATGGGTGGACTGGTTGAATAAAGACTTAAGGACAACAAGACTGAGCAGAGGGGTGTGTCCATCCAAAAGGTTTTCCTCAATGGGCTACCTGTAGAGGCTCGGGGCGCTGCGCATAAATACTCCCCCCTTTAGAGAGAGACTTCAGTCCTGAGGGAGAGACAGAGAGGCGGCACTTATTGCAGGGACTCTGGTTTGGGTGGATTATGAACGGCTTTGGACACCAGCCTGCATCCAACCACCAGACCAGTCCCATTCAGCACCACAGCGCCCAGGAGCTCCTGGACATGGCCGTCTACTGCGACAACTACGGCGTGTACCAGCAGAACCTTCACCACCACCCACAGAGGCCGCCGGCCCACTCCTCCAGCTACGGTCTGAGTGACTACACCTCCCCGTCCGCCAACCCCTACCTGTGGCTTAATGGACCGGCCATCAACTCCTCTCCGTACCTCCCCGGGAACAACAGCTCGTCCTACATGCAGCCCGGGTACGGCTCGAACCAGAGACAGTTCCTCCCGCCTCCCACCGGGTTCGGTGGCGCCGACCTGGGCTGGCTGTCCATCTCCAGCCAACAGGAGCTCTTCAAGATGGTCAGGCCGCCTTACTCCTACTCTGCCCTGATAGCCATGGCCATCCAGAGCGCACAGGACAAGAAGCTGACTCTGAGTCAGATTTATCAGTACGTGGCTGACAACTTTCCTTTTTATAAGAAGAGCAAAGCCGGGTGGCAAAACTCCATCCGGCACAACCTGTCTCTGAATGACTGCTTCAAGAAGGTAGCGAGGGACGAGGACGACCCAGGTGAGTCCGTAGCTTCATTTGCCAAACTAATTCTACACACATTTTGATTACATTTTTAAATTATTAGTTATAATAATAACTTGAGATTTGTTCTCCATAATGAGAGTGCGTTATTTTATTTTTTTTTTTGACTCCAGGAAAGGGAAACTACTGGACTCTGGACCCGAACTGTGAAAAGATGTTCGACAACGGGAACTTCAGACGGAAGAGGAAAAAGAGATCGGATATAAACGGCTCTCTCCCGGTCAAATCAGAGGACGCTCCGCATAAACTCTCCGACACCGCCAGCCTGCTGACGCCTTCCCCGTCCAGCCTGCACGGATCTCCGGCCTCCACGGAGCCAAAATCGTCGCCGCCTCCCTCTGCGGAGCACAGCCCATGTTTCAGCAGCTTCGTGTCCGGCGTCAATTCGTTGCTGGCGGGCAGCGACGGCTCCGGGGCCCCTGGGGGACTGTCCCAGAGCAGGGAGAGCATGTCGGGACTGGGATCCTACTCTCCCTCCTTAATCTCCCCTCTGAACTCTGACAACAGAATGAACTATTACACATCAGCGCAGAGCCTCTCCAACCACTTCAGCGTTAATAATCTGCTATACAGCCGGGAGGGAACAGAGGTTTAGGCGGTTTGCTACTTCTATGGTATGGAGCTCACAAAGTGCCATATTTGGATAAATAAATAATTACACCGTTTACAACATTTGTGTCAAGAATTATAACATACAAACATATTAAATATGGCAAATTTAGTGTTTATGTTTTGACAGAAATATCCCCATGGCTCTCTATGGCCATTTTAATAATTAAAATAAATATAAATAAATTCATCAAATTTGCATTGTACCAAATATGCCTTAATATTTACTTTACTAACCAAAGAAAAAGGAGGGAGGAGACGAGGAAATCACAATTCTTTTATTTAATAGCTGTGCATTGTGGAGTTTAAAAATTGTCAGATTTCACAATAATAAATTATGTATGAATTAAAAACAGTTTACACAAATACATAATTTCACTCTTTGCCAAATGCTACACACTTTTTTTTTTTTTACATAAAAATATTCTGGAAACCAGAGTTTGTGAAACAAAATTGAGTAACATGGAGATCCACAGGTGCCACATAAATAAATAAATAAATACCATGGTCAAAATAAAGTAATTCATTTGTTATGCCTGTATTTTAAGAAATCTGTTGTTTGAACAAGATAAATTTTTTTTACTTCATTTTATTTGTCAGACTTGCCTATCAGTCGATTGGTGAGATAATTATTCTGAAGTAAGACAACTGTGTAGGTAATAGATCACATTGTTATTTGACAATCCACATAAATGGTTTGTTAGTTTGTGCTACCCTGCAGAAAAATCACAAGATAATTACTTACTGCAATAGATTTTTTAAGTTGGTGAATAAGGCCTCAAATAAATCATTAATCTCCCAATTGACCATTGCATGAAAAAATACATTAACTTATTTCCAGTTTCATTTTAACTAAGATTTTTTTTAGATTTATTACATTTTGGCACGTTTGGCGCTCCTTGTCATGGAAGCCTTCATGTTTCTTATGTAAATATGTCTGGTTTGAATTACCTCATTGCAGCTAACTTGAATGGATTTTTCTATAGTACCTTTTTACTCAAGTAAAACTGCATGTAACTGTATCAGACGCAAGTGTGAACTTGCAGCATTTTTATTTTTATATAAATGAGGTGCTTCAACTCAGGCCTGGATGGGTGCATATTTCATTTGTTTTATTTCTACTCTTCAAATGTTATTGCAGCTGCTCGTTTTGGTCTCAAAAATGAAGACATTTTTGTACAGAAATTATTTTTGCACATAAGAAATAAGACAGGACATGTTTTTTCTTTTTATTTAAACTCACTTGGATGCTTTAATAAATCTCATTTATTTGACCATCAGTTTTCAGTCAAACATGTTTTCCTGAAGCTATTGTTTAATCTAAAATTTTCACTACACACAAACGTGCATGCAAATAATTAAGTATATTTTTCTTGACACACTTTCTAAAATCCTACAATGCCTTTTTCTGCCACTTGAAAACCAAAAGCCCCTCCTCTAGTCTGGGCACCGGTTTGGAAATTTTCTGGTGGTTTCCAAATCCTTGTTGGTGCCGCAGATTTAGGAGCTTGATCCTTTCGTGTGGTGGTTTTGTCATTGGACAGTGAAATCATCAAAGAACAAAAGGTTATTTGACTTCCTTCCTTCTTTCTTGGAGGAAATTTAAATTGAAAGTTAAATCGTGCGTTTCAAATATTTTTTGCGACCTCCTGCTGAGATGTTTAAATCTTAGTTACATCTTGACCCCAGAATAATAACAAAAAGATCACGTCTTCAAACAGGTTCTAAGTCCACATGTACAGCAGACTAAATGAACCAGCAAACACAAGAGCTTGTCAGGAAACTCAGAGAAAAGTGGCTGGAATTAGGAAGGTGTGTAAGACAGACATTTTCCGCTTGTCACTTCCAATAACATGAGATCAGACGTTTAAAGTTACTTCAGTGAAGTTCAGGTTTTTTGCCTGAGCTGGAGGCGCCTGCTAGCCTGTTCAGCCTGAAAATAATAATAATAAAAATATATATATATTTTTTAAAATCACCCAAAGTGTTGGCATTCACAATGCTTTTTCTCTCCAAAATGCCTGTAATGTGGGTTTTGTTGTTCTGTTGTTGGGATAGAATCTCCAAATTGCGCCACACAGAGGAAACATTCATGCGATCTAACACCCTCCTTTGGTTTTATTTCCAAACAACATCCATACGCACGGAATCAAAGCATGTAAACAACAGGAAACACCTTCTAATTGGTTGACAATTGAATGCGCTCAGGCGCTCTTTGCTCTGGAATAAAGGGAAAAATTAATTGACAAGACTTTCGTGCTCCTGGTCAGGGTACAATGGAAGCTGGCGATTGAACAGGTCCCCTCCTGGGCTCAAATAAAAATATTACAATCTGAAGATCTGGGAACAAATTATCCCCCCCACCTCCACCCCACCAGGCCACATTTTGCTCTATTATCAGCAGAGCAAGGCCACGGATCAGACAAAGAGGATTTTTGTCATCCAGGAGCTGGTTCTCACAGTAACAAGTTTTCTGATGAAAACCTAATCATGTTCAGTGAATAGAGGCCTTTTAGGTCAGATTACCAGCAAATCCTGGTCACTCAGTTGAATTATTCTGTCAGATGACAACACGGAGGAAGAATCATTTAAAATCAGAATTTCTCACTAAGTGGGCTGCCTGTTAATAATATAAAAATCATTTCACTCTGGGTTACCTTCCTTTATGTCTGCGTTCCAATTTAAGCAAAACTACAAGTTCACACACAGGTATCCATTCTGCTCAAACTGGTCCACATTTTGTTGAATTTCAATCACAAATCTCAGGGTATTTTATTGGGATTTGATGTGAAAGAGAGACAAAATAGTTCACAATTGTGAAGCGTAGAAAAGATGAAACGTACGGAAAACTCTTCACCTCTGTCTAAAGTTATTTTTGGACGTTTTTTCTCTGATTGTTTGTAGATCTGTCCACGATCCCGTCAACTGTGACCAGCTTCCTTATCACCTTCCAGCTTCCATGTCATCTGAATAATGCTGCCACCACCGTGTTTCCCAATAGGCCTTGTTCTCTTCAGGGCATGTGCTTTATTGGTTCTCCACCAGATTTTGCAATTAGGCCAAGAAGTTCCCGTTCTTGTCATCTGACAAAGGCGTCCTCTTTTACATGCCCTCTGTATCCCCTATGTGGTTGAGTCAAACTGTAAACAGACTTTCAGCATTTTTTTTCTTACCTCTACTCATAGGCCAGATTTGTGGACTGCAAGTTGTTGACAGATTCACATGAGCTGTGGATCTCTGCACAGTTACCAGATGCCTCCATCATCCTTCAGTGATCAGTTCTGTCTCTGGAACGGTGCTTACTAATTACTTCTGAAGGCATTTTTTGTGAGTTATTTCAGAGATATCTACGAAATAAGGGCCAAATACGAATGCGTGCCAAATATTTGATTTTTATTTGTAAAACAAACTCTACTAGCCACGCATACCCCTCTTCAATCTGTGCTGTTGGTCTTTTGTATAAAAATCCCAATAAAACACATGGAAGTAAGTGGTTATATGCTTTATTTGTCCAGATAAAATGTCTCATTGAAGCCTGTCAAAATAGCATTTGAAGTAATTTAACGTAACAAGCTTCAGAGCTACTCCAGAAACACATGTATGCAGTATTTGACACCTTCCACTCCCTGCTACACCCCTACATTTCCAAGATTGATTCACTTCATTCATTTCCCAGAAACGTAAGGCTCCAGTGCCCCAGCTGTGCCTGAAGGGCACATTCACCTGGCCCATATGAATATCAGTCAGGCCACCTTGTCTCAGCACTGTGCCTGCTTCAGGGGCCCCTGGCACCGAGGACTAAAGACCCAGACCCATTAGAATGCCTCAGTATCATCAGGGTGGCCTCCAGGTTTCTTACCCACATGCCTCGTGGGCTAAACCCATAATGATGGGTTTTGTTCTCAAAGGGCTGCTTCTCCAGAGATGATGCTGGCTTGTAATTGAAGAACTTGTTTGAGGACTGAATTATTTCACTCCTTCTTCCTTCATGGGACTAGAAACTGGTGGACACGTTTTTAATCACTCCTTATTTCTCTATGTTTTTTGACTACAAGAAACCAGACGGTGGAGGTTTGTAAAGTTGTCTTGCTCGGCTGTTTCTTTTCAGTGCTCTTTTCGTTTAGTCTCTGTCCAATACCTGACCAGTTTCTGCTAAAATTAACCAGATTGGACGGAGAGTGTCTGTGAAGATCAAATCTTTTCAGGTCTTGCCACAGATTCTCAGGTTGGTAGTTGCACCATTTTCATTTTATTTTCAGATGATCGATAAAACGGTCCTTTGTGAGACCTTTAAATATTGGGATATTGTTGTGTGTCAGAACCCGCCTTTAAACCTGTCCACAGCCATAATCTGTAATCCGTCTGCTGATGCTTCCTGCTTTCTGATGTTCTCTAACAAACCTCTGAGTCCTGAAACAAAACAGATGGATTTGCTGTATATTTACCCAAACATGAGCTGTATTACCAAGTAGATGGATGCAGAAAGCAGTTGTGGTTGAAGTGGACTTTACTTAGGGGTATCGGAATTAAAGGGATTAAATATAAATGCATGCCACACTTCAGGGATTTTCGTCAAAAATTGTTGGAAACCATGCCTCTTATTTTCACTTTTGACACCAATATGGTATTTTTGGTTTGGTCAGTCCCAATAAAATGCATTGAAGTGTGTGGTGGTAATGTGACAAAATGAGAACAAGTTGGTTTTGCAATAATGCTTGGCAGAGGAGCATTTCTAAATTGCATCTTGTACCTTCAAGCTGTCACAGAAACACAATTTGTTCCCATTTTTGTATCTGTGTCCGTTTGACCTGATATGCTGTTTTAACACCAACAATGTGATTTTCAGAAAGTTACTCACTGAAAACTTGTAGATTGTACGTTGAGACTGCTTTTTCCTGCTGTGATTCAGCTCGATGATTACATTGTTTTATTTTTTAAAAACAAATATAACTTCTCAGATGCTCTAGTGTTGAGGGGGTTTTACATATGTGATTTTAATTTTTTTATTATTTTTTTTTATTCTTTATTAAGACCAGACATTTTGCTCCATGCAAAGCATTCTGAAGCCACTTCTGCAGACCAGTGTTTGGTAAAAGTTTGGGAGAATTTTGATCAAGATGTAAACCATTTGAAGACTTCAGATAAGATCCATAGCTTCGTGATTCTCCACAGACCATATAACGCTGCCACACAGGTAAATCAGAGGTGGAAATGAAACCTTGGTGCAGAACATGATCGCTTTGCCATGAAGACGCTGATTAGAGTCTGGATCTACCCTGAAATCTCCACATCTGTTTGTAGCAGTCAGTGGGCATTACAGGGATCATTTCTTGTATTACAGCTCAATCTCTTGAGGAAGTTAAATATTAAACAGAACAATATGACGACAGCTTCTTAGGAAGCAGTCATGAGGGTGACGGGACGGGGGGGGGGGCAGCTCTGCATGACACACTTAAAAAGGATTGAGGCTGCAAACGATAGCTGAGGAGAATGTCTATCAAGTGGCATGACCTGATTCAGTTTCATCCATCACCGTTCGCAGGGGCCATAAAAGGCCTGACGTATGGGCCGACAGCAGCATGAGAACCCTGCTCCGAACGAGCGGACATATGGATTATTTTATACAGAACAAACTATTCAGCTGTTCGGAGCACATGAAAAATGTGGGACAAATATCCCTGCGCTATTATTCAATTTCTTTTTTTTTTTTTTTTTTTTAA